CTCATTTTCCTTGCTTAAATTCTTATCCTGACCAACATGGTCACTGGATTCCTGAGATTTGCTTATAGATTTATTATTGCAGAACATGTTATTGCTACAAGGCATATTTTAAGTAATAGACTGGGCCATTTGGCCCACCAGGCCCCTCAAGTGGCCCACCACTCACAGGGTATTGGCCCACCACTGTGTGGGCCCCCGAAGCTTCAGTCTTTACATTTTAGCATCAGGAATATAAAATTATTTACCTTGAACAAGCTATTAAAACACTAGTCTATAAACTTTCAATTTCTTGATGGCATTTATATTGCAGTAATGGTTTTGTTTCAAATTATACACGTGCAGAACACAAAGTACATCCATATTTTTCCTCTGACATTAGGTATTGGGGGCACATGTCACCAATGTTTCACAATTTTTATTTAAATATAAAATGATAATTTTATCAGAAAAGAAAAAATAAGAGACTGCGAGAAGAAATTCCGAACCTGACAGAACTTTTTTTAAGGATAGAGAGTATATGAGAAAATTTTATAGGGAATCAAGTGGATGTTTGTAAATTACTTCTGTTTAGTCACTTTAGTGGAGAGTGCCAGAGTGGAACTGGAACACTTTCAACACTGCATTTCATTTACAATAATTTCAGTATTTTTTGTATTTTTAGTCAGATCAATTGCATCTGTTAGTGCGGCGAACTCAGAACTGGGGATGGCATGATACCCCAGAACGCCAGTACCGAAGTTAGCGGAGTATCCCTCTGTAGTGTAGAAACTAGAAATAATAAATATGTGTCAATAAGTTCAGGAAGCGTTTTAACACGATTACTACACAAATATTCAATACTCAGAGCTGGACCAGCAGGGGGCGGGACGCGGGGGCCCTACCGTAAATTTTGGCCCACCACTGTAAATTCCTTAAAATATGCCTTGTATTGCTATACTAGGATGCATGCCAAGCAGACGCTCATTTTCTGACTTAAGCTGTTTTATTTCCGCATTTTGTACTTGTATGGTGGAGTCAAGCTCTGTAACTTTGGTTTTTAATTCCATAATTTCAGAAAGCATTCTTTCACGGAACAACATTTGATCGGATTCCATTGACGAAAGTTTGCTTTTCAACCCTGACCAACCGCTTAACGAACGATTTGTAATGTTTGGACTTATTAGCGATACGTCATTGAAATTGTTTATACTGTTGCCAGGCTCGTGATTAACCTTGTTATTTCCGTCAGCCACATTTGTAGTTGAATCCAACTTAATCAAAGCTTTAACTCCACTTGTCACAATTCCTGTATCGAGACAGTTCATTAA